TACATTTCCTCCAACTATTAGGTACGCTACCCAACTTGGCTTCTAATTATTTTTTGTAACCTAGCATTTGACTTTTGTTTATATTGTCTAGCTTTTCTTAACTCCTGCTTTTTTACTTGCCAATGAACCTACATGTTTTTACTTGCCAGTGAACCTGTCTCACTTAATGTTGGAGACAGATTCAGTTAACAACTGGATTTTTAATTTTTCAAAAATGGAGGGTCAACAATTGTTTCTTTCATCTAAGCAGTCCTAGGAACAATTGTAGATGCAGTCTGAAAGCTGCACAACACTCCTCAGAGCATATAGTTTGAAAGTCTTCAAACACTTTCCACATTCCATTTTAAGATGTGATTAAACGCAGAGTCCTGGCTTCAGCATCAACCGTCTCCCTCTACTCACCTCAGTTTTGTTTAACATCTAGCCTGATTATGAGCTCTGGTGAATCTCAAAGCTTGTACTATTTTTTGTGCATGTGAGTTAATCTAATATTGCCCTAATACATGTTTGGGGCTTTTTTTAAAAAAAAATCAAAGGTGTCACACTCCTAATAAGCTGAAGGGCCCAACTTTCCATCAGCCTAAAAAACCTAGAAAGCAAAAATATGTTGCACTTCAAACTACATTTTACACTACCAGTGCAGGAAACATTTGAATGTTGTGTACAGTATACATCAATGGTTCTGCATCGTTGGACTGCCAGTGTTTTGGACTTCAGTTCCCAGAATCCCTAATCATTGGCCAAGCTGGTTGCAGTTTCTGGGAGCTGAAGTGCAAAACACTTGGCGGACCAAAGGTTGAGAACTACTGGTGTAGATGAACCTAAATTTAGCAAATGCAAGGACTTGTACAGTTCTTCTCCATACACATAATCCCCAATTACACTTGTCTCTGAACTCAAACTCTTGTTAACGTCTCTCCCACATCCTTTAGACAGCAGGCTTTGGTTTGAACTTTTGCTTTTCATCTGAATGTAATTTGTTCAGATATTTGCCTGGTATTTTATTTATTTCATTAATGCCTATCCTTTCTTTTTGACCCTGAGGGATTCTTAAAGCAGCTTACATAACAGAAAATGTAATTACATAAGGGTTGCTTCTACCTCTTTTCTGATACTGTTCCAAAGCAATGCTATGTATCACTCCCCTC